GCGCCCCGCCCACGGGATGGTCAAGAAGCCCTTGCGGTGGAGCTGGGAGAGGAGCGGATTTGGGCTGAAAGCCTGAAAAAGAGCTCATGAAATTTAATCAGATGCCTGAGGGGCCACCTAAATTTAGTTGAATTATTATTAGTATTCGTGCCAATCTTAAACCGCCTAGAGCAACGTTGCTGAGAAACTGGGGACCCACTGGCCGGGTGGGGGTGCTTCTGTGGAGCAGGGGCCGCAGGCTGCAGGTGCCCTGGTGCCCCCACACCACTGGGCCCCTCAGCGGGAGCTGTGGGCCTCTGTGTGTGGCCAGGCCCGTAAGGGACACACCAAGGCCGCACAGGCCCTGCCAGCGGGGCCGCCACCCACAAGAGGCGCCTCCTCGGGCACCACTGCCCGAACTGGGGGGTTCCAGGGCCCTTCTGGCCACAAATGGGGCTTAGGGAGCAGCAGAGCCGCCGCCACAGGCAGGACGGACCCACGCTGCACCCCTCCCCTGCCCCGCCTCCCCCCATCTTTCTCGTGCCTCCTGCTGGGCTGGGGGTCCAGCTGCATTTCCACAGGGGCTGGCGGGCATGGGCCGATGATGGCCTGGATCCGGGCGCCCCGGCTGGGTGCTGGGGGGGGGGGTGCGCACAGGGGCGGCTCCCGTGGGCACTGGGTGGGAGGAGCGCGCCTCAACACCGTGGGTGCCCCCAGTCTGGGAGCTGAGCTTGGCTCTCGTTCTTCCTGAGCCGGAAGGAGGGGTCGCTGGCTGCTGTCAGCCGGGGGGCTGGTGGGGAGGAAGTCACCGGGGCCAGGCAGAGCAGCTGGCTCTCAAAAGCCTAGTTGGGGAGCCACGAGGAGCGCCTCCAGGCTGCTCGGCTATTAATTATTTTGCGTTATTTATTAGCTGTATACCCAGCGTCCCTCAGCCTCCACACGCGCATCTGCGAATGCCTTAAGGGAACAAGAAAAACAGATGATTCCTGCCTCCGGCCTCCGGCCCTAATGGATAATCGTAGATGTTAAGCGGAGGAGCCTGCCGCCCTTCCGGCCGGGTGGCGGGTGAAGACCCTGGTGAGGACAGAGCCGGCCCCGCAGCCCTGGTGGCTCAGCGGCATTTTTCTTCATTTTACGTAGATGTCAGGTGATGTCATCCTGCTTGACGAGGGAAAATGAAGAGGGACATTCTTGGCCGGTGTGCTCGCCCTGGCGGGCACGCACGGGCAGCGCCCGGTCACCGTCCCCTAAGCTGCTGTGGTGAGCCTGGGCGAGGGCGCGCCGGCCGCCCGTGACTGACGCCCTCCGTCATCAGCCGGCTCTGGGCCCGGCCCGGCCCTGCTGTCTCCGTCCCCAGGTGCTCCCGTCCCTCCGGCCGGGAGAGCTGGGTCTGTCCCTGCTGGCCACCTGGGCTCAGGGGCTGGAGCCGCAGAACCAGGCCTGGCTCCACCCCTGAAGGCAGAGAGGGTGCAACCCCCAAGGACGTGTCCCGGGGGGCGCTGCCCCCCCAGGCTTCCAAAATTCCAACAGCCCCTCTGTGGCCGCCCCAAGGCGATACCATTGACCGCACGGCAGCCCCCGCGGTCAGCGCCAGGCAGTGTCCCGCCCCGGGGAACCGCTCCAGCGCTGTGGGGGTGGCGGCCGCTGTGCCCTGCCCGGAGCCTCCGCTTAGTGGACGCATCCCAGCCTGCCGGGCCCGGTGGGCCTCGGAGATCAGTCCCTGTGTCCCCGGTGCGCGCCGGGCCCTGCGGGGTGACGCCCGCCCTGCTAGGGGTGCCGCCCCAGGGACAGGGCTGGAGGGCGGGGAGCAGGGGGACCGCAGCAGAGTCAGACGGGCCGACCCCTCCCCGTCTTGCATCCCGCGGCCCGGACGGGGACCCAGGATGGGCGGTCCCCCCTGAAGTCCCCTCTCGGAGGCCTGGCGGGAGCCAGGAGGAAGCGAGGACAGAGGAGGGCGGGGTCATGTCTTTCCCCCGCGTGTAAAATGTCGCCTTCGTTTGCTCACCGCGGCCTGAGGGTCCGTCACGGCCTGGACACGGTCCCCGTGCCTCTCCCGCTCCGGCTCGTGCTTGTCGTTCCCGGCAGCGGAGCCTTTTCATTTCGAGGACGTCGCTTGCGTGCTTGGGGGGGGGGGGTGTGCCTGGCGGGGCCCCGGGCGCGTGTTCTGGGCGCCGCCTCTGCTGGCGTGGGTGGTGACGGGAGTGTTTTCTCAGGCGCTGACTCGGTTTACGACTTCTTGAAGGTCCACTTCGAAGAAGGGCGTTTTCAATTTTCCCATTTGTTTATTGCAGTTTGTGTTTTAAGAAACCTCGGTCTATCCCAAGGCAGCAAGGCTTTCTCTACGATGCTTCTGGGAGCTTCCTGGTGCCAGGCTTCACCAACAGGCCCATGATCTGCTTTGAGTGAATTTTGCGTGTGACGGGGAAAGGCTCTTTCCTCGCGGGGGTGGACGAGCTGCGTGTGGGAGGCTGACCCTCCCCTGAGCCGCCGCTGCCTCGCGGCCGATGACCAGTCCATCTTGTTTGTCTTCCTGGACTCTCCGCTCTGTCCCACTAATCTGAGTCTGCCTTTTCTTTTCTTTTTTTTAAAAGATTTATTTATTTATGCACACAAGAGCTGGGGTACAGGCCAGAGAGGCGGGGGGTGAGAGGACTCCCCAGAGACAGAGTGGGGAGCAGAACAGGCAGACCGACGAAGTCCACGGCTGAGGGGGCCGCGGGGAGGCAGGAGAGTCAGCCGCGCCCCGTGGGCAGCTCCCTGGCCGGGGATCAAACTCGCGCAGCAGAGGCTGCGGTGAGCTTCCTAGGTTGCGTCTTAACCCCCTGCACCGCCCGGGAGGCCCCCGAGTCAGCCTTTTCACGAGTCACCGACTGCCCCGGTTGCTGGAGGTTTATAATAAGTCTCCAAATCGGGCAAGTTCCCAGCCTTCCTTTTTTTTTTTTTATAATTGCTTTGATGGTTCGAGATGTTCCTCTTTCCACATGAACTTTAGAGTCCGCTTGTCAATATCCACCAAAAAAGAAACCGTGCTGAGTTTCGACGGGGTTGTGTCGAATCTGTGAGTGAACGAGGCAAGGTCGCCGCCCTGGTGACCCCGCTTCCGGCCGCGGCCCTGCCCCCACCCCTCAGTCCTGTTCATTTCTCGGAGCGGGGAGCGGGGTGTGGGTGTGTGCGGGCGGCTGTGGGGCTCCCGAGTGGCGTTCACAGGCTTGTTCCTTAGTATTTTTGTATTATTTTTTCTATAATGGAACTTTCCACACCCCGCAGCGGTGGTCCCGGGGTCATCCTCTGTGACAGGCCCTGAGGACAGAGACCTGAGGCTCCACCGACCCTGACCAGGGGGACCGTGGACCCCAGCTGGGGGCCCAGCATGGTGTCCAGAATTAGTCAATCAGCTAATGAATGCAGATAGCGTCCCCCAAGGAGCTGTACAGGGCTGCAGCAGGCCTGGGGTGGGGGGGCTAGGGGAGGTTTGCAGACCCTCCGTCCAGGGGCCCAGGCCTCAGGCCATGGCAGGGCAGGGGCCTCAGCCTGCACCCCAAATCTGGCCTCTGGAAACCTCGGTCTGCCTGGGATGGGGGACCCGCAGGGGCAGCAGGGTGGCAGCCTGCGTAGGTGGGGGGGCGTCATGTCATTTGCCAGTGGAGGGGTGGGGGAGGGGCTGGAAAGAATGCCAGCTTTTGGGGGCCCTGTGCACTGATCCCGGGGGAGCCTGGGTGGTGGCCCTCCACGCGCTCTCCGCTGCCTGGCCTCATTGTTCTATAAGCAGATTATGAGTCGTGCATAAAGGGCGAGGTGGGGGCCAGGTGGGGGCTGCCCTCAGGCCTGCCCTGGCCATCTTGCAGACACGGATGGCGCGGCCTGGCCAGGGTCCATCGGAGACGGCCTCCCCTCGGCCTGTTTGTGTCCATTTGCCGTGTGGCCCCTGTGGGCCAGTTTATCAGCCGCCTCCCCCCAGCATCCTGGGGCTGCAGACCCGGCTGGACCTGGCCTGGCCACCACCTCCGGTGGGGGAGCTCCCGCACGGCCCGCACCGCCCGGCGTGCGCGCGGCAGCAGTAAAGGCGCCACGGCAGCCAGTCCTCCCCAGGGAGGTGCCCTGTGTTGGGAGCCCCTGCAAACCACCCACCCAGGGTTGTTTTTTTTTTTGCCATTTGAGGAAGGGCCTTGGGCTTAACGCATTCACTTGATGTTACTGTTAAACCTCCAGAGGCAGGCCCTCCCCGGGGTGGCTGAATCCATGGGATGAAATGTTTTGCGACTCGGGAGATAGACAAATTCTTGGAATTTTAAAAAGCCCTAATGATCAGGGTTGTGTCGATGAGCGTCCGCCTAGAGGCAGTGAGACACACTGGTGGGCATGTGTGCCGCGGAGCTGGGGTGCAGTGCCAGCTGCCACCCACCGCGGCGGGTGACCCTGACCTCTCTGGACTGCGGTTCCTCTCCCATGCCCTGGGGGTGGCGACCCTCCTTATTTCATGGGATTATCATGAGGATTATATCACCAGAGGAGCTTAGCGGAGGGCCAGGCCCGTGCTACGTGCTGAACGAGTGTTCGCTGTTGTTGTTAATGTGTTGCTGGCACGGGTGCTGCGGCCGAACGGCTCTTCTTTGAGAACAGTCAAACAATTTGAACCCAACAGAAACCCCACACCCCCTGAAGTGGCCACAGACACTTCTCCTAGTGAAGGCCGAGGGCCAGGGTGCCCAGTACTGGACACCCCAAGCCCAGACATCACCACTTTGCAGACGTGCCAAGGCTCAGAGACGCCTGGGACCTTGCTCCCGTCACACAGCGGCGGGGCGCTCAGCGGTCAGCCAGGCCGAAGCCGGCCTCTGCTGAAGTGGACGGGAGCTGGGTCGTGACGATGCTGCCCTACCCCATGAAAAGGGAATGGGGTGCGGCGGCGGGACCCGTTCATCCCCGCGCGCTCGTCCCTGGGTGTGCGCACCGGCCTTAGCGCGGCCGCGTTGGCGCGTGTAAACCTCCCCACGCCCTTGTCCTCCCCGCTGCTCCCGCAGAGACACGTGTGGCCACCACATCAGCTGCCCCGGCAGCTCACCCGCCGGCGCGGACGCCAACCTGCCCTTCCCCGATGGCCCTGGCCTCCTGCAGGGCCGGCGCTGGGACGAGCAGCAGCGCGCGTGGGCCCTGGAGCAGATCTGCGGCGTGTTCCGTGTGGACCTGGGGCAGATGCGCTCCCTCCGCCTGTTCTTCAGGTGAGCGGAGCTTCCGGGGGGCGGCCCCGCGCACGTGACTCGGGGGCCCGGGGGACCGAGGCCAGCAGCCCCAAGGTCCGTGTCCTCCATCTCCCAGCTCTTCGGCGGTGGCACTTCGCGACCGGTGGGGCGGGGCGGCCACCGACTCTTCATCTGCCTTCTGGGCGGTCGGACCCCTGACTTGGGAGCAGATGCCCGCCCAGCCCGCGCCGTGGCCGCCGTGACGCCACGGCAACGTGGTTCCCCCACAGGCGGGGCTTTCTCAAGGGAGCCCCTTTCTCTCCTGGCAGGCAGAAGGTCCTTACTCGCGACCCACCTGATAGCTACACTCACCCTCTTCCCAGAGGGCAGGGTGCCCAGCCCCAAGGAAGCACCCACCCTAGACCTGCCAGAGCAGGGGTAACCCGGGCACAGACCCGGGTCCTAGCTCCCCCTCCGGGGAAGGGCCACCAGGCTGGGCGGGTGCACCTGGGGCGAGCCGTGAGTTTCATGGGCAATGCCCAGCTTGGTGCTTACCCCCGGCATTCAAAATCTGGTCCTCCCAGTGGCACCCGCCGGTGCCTGTTGGAGAGGAGACGCGGGGCCAGGCCAGGTGGGGCGGACGTTGCTGGGCAAGTCTCTGGGAGCGAGGCGCGCCCCGTCCCTGGGCCGCCCGCCGGAGGGAGCGGCTTCGGTTTCTCCAGCAAAGGGGGTGATGGTGTCTGTCATCCGTCCCCTCCCGCCGGCAGCCGGGCTGCACAGGGCCCTCCTGGCTCCCGCCCCAGAGGCCAGTGACAGCGGCCGCTGCTGCCTTAGAAGCCCTTGCGCGCACACCCACGGCTCTCTCCCCCCCGCCGCCAGCGACGAGGCCTGCACCAGCGGCCAGCTGGTGGTCGCCAGCAGGGAGAGCCAGTACAAGGTGCTGCACTTCCACCACGGCGGCCTGGACAAGCTCTCGGACGTGTTCCAGCAGTGGAAGTACTGCGCGGAGACGCACCGCAAAGACCAGGTAGCCGGGGCCGCCGCCCGCCTGGCCTGGCCCTCCCGGGCGGCCCGGGCCCCGCGCGCCTCCCTGCCCCCCTCCCGCGGGGCGCGACCGGGACCCCGTGGCCGACGGCACCCGGCTCTGGCTCTGAAGCCCGCACCCGGGCTCTGGGTAAAGTCAGTGTTCTGCACTTGAAAACTCATGTTTTGACAAGGCTTCCTGCCATATTTTGCTCGATCTACATACAAACGTAATACAAGCTCTTTAATTATCTGTTTAAGATACTGTATGTGCTTATTAGGAGCGGGGCCGCCTGTAACGTTCCCTTCCTACCCACAGAGCGTCCCGCGGCTTCCCTTATTACAGTAGCGTGCCTTTCCCCCTGCATCGAGCAACCTTTGATTTTTGAATTAAATGTCAGCTGTAGTTTTGCCCTGGATTCGTGACTGCCCGCGGAGACGGCCTGGCGGGCAGGCACTGAACAGCGGTCCTTTGTATGTGGCCAATCACACGTAATTTATTGCAGGCCTCCCGGCAGCGGGAAGTTGGGCCGAACAACGCATTAATTCCGTTTCTTTGCGGCAGGGCTGGGGAGCGCGCGGGGGCGGCCGCAGTGGCCGAGAGGGGGCCGGCGGCGGGAGTGGGCCCGGGAGGGGGAGCGGCCGGGAAACCACGTTAAGATGGAGGCATTTTCATTTTAATTGCCTCTAATTACACTTGCCATTTAGGGGCTTGTGTGCAAGGGAGAGCCCCCCCTGCTCCTTTCAGGGGGCAGGGAGGGAGGGAGGGAGGGAGGCTTTTCAGTCCCGTGAAGGGCGCCGCTGGGTTCCAGGCCCCGCTCCCTGCGGGCGCACGCCCAGCTCCCCGCTGTCCAGCAGGTCTCGGACGAGAGGACGCGCATGCAGTTCTCCATCCGCCGCCCCAAGCTCCCGTCCTCGGAGACGCACCCCGAGGAGAGCATGTACCGCAGGCTGGACGTGTCGGCCTGGCTGCGCCACCTCAACGGGCAGGGCCAGGTGGAGGAGGAGTACAAGCTGCGCAAGGTGAGGCGGCGCCGCGGGGGGGACGCCCCTCGGCCCGGCAAGCTCGCCCCGCGGAGCCGTCAAACCACGCGAGCTTGGGGGACCCTGAGCCGGCCTGGGTGGAGGCACACGGGGAAACACCGCGGGAAACACCGCGTTTCCCAACCCTGGGATTAGGCCATGACGTGGGAATGACACGTTAATCTGCGCGCGCCCCGGGGGAGCATTGACATTGAAATGAGCCTGGCCCGCCTGCATGGGAATGGAGGCCCGAGGTTCCCGGCACACATGTGCAAATCGCCGCCTCTGAATAGTGTCAGCTGTCAGGGCCGTCCGGGGCCACTGAAACACAAGCCCCCGGGGATCTGGGGTGCTTGGAGCGCCCTGTCTCGGGCCCTCCCCAACCCTGGCCGCTTCCTCCAGGCCATTTTCTTTGGCGGCGTTGATGTGTCCATCCGGGGGGAGGTGTGGCCCTTCCTGCTGCGTTATTACAGCCCCGAGTCCACGTCGGAGGAGCGGGAGGCGCTGCGGCTGCGGAAGCGGAAGGAGTACGCCGACATCCAGCAGAAGAGGTACCCGGGCCGGCCGCAGGCCTGCTGGAGTGGCCCCGAGGGCAGCCGGCCTCAGTCCTGCGGCCACAGCCTCGGTCCCCTGAAGTGGGTCTCCCAGAAAGCGATGGGGCTGGGTCAGTGCACCCTTGTCCACAGTGGCCCTCAGCCCGCCTGTGGGGTGAGAATTCCTTCTTGACCACCTGGACCTGGTGTGACGTCCAGCGCCGGGCACCGGGTGGCTGAGGCGCCTGCAGCGGGCGATGGGACTGCTGCAGTCCATTTGGGCCTCCCTCACCGAGGGCTGCGGTCAGCTCCTTGCTGGGCCCCAGGAGGCCAGTCCATGTTGGAAAGCCTTGGGTCCACAGCAGCCCCCAAGGCCGTGGGGAGCTGGGGGTTGCCGGCGGGAGCCGTGACCCGGGCCCCCACCCAGGGAGCAGAGGTTGGGGTTGGCCCTAGCCGGCTGACGGGCGGCCTGTGCCCCCAGGCTCTGCATGACCCCTGAGGAGCAGCGGGCCTTCTGGCGCAGCGTGCAGTTCACCGTGGACAAGGACGTGGTGCGCACGGACCGGAGCAACCAGTTCTTCCGGGGCGAAGGCAACCCCAACGTGGAGAGCATGAGGTGTCCGTCCCCGTGGCCCCCCAGCCCCACTGCCCCAGTGGGCCCGCCAGGCACCAGGAGTCTCCCCTCCACCCTTGCGGGCCAGTGCCCAGATGCTAAGGCTTGCTCCCTCGTGTAGGCAGGCCCACCCCATCCTGGGCACGGCGTCCAGGGGAGCCCGGTTGTCCCTCCCAAGGGTGCCAGCAAGCCCCGCCCCCGGAGCCCCCCAGTCCTTGCCTAGTCACGTGACCGGGGCCAAGCTGCCCATGTCTGCCAGTGCGTGTCCTCTGGGTGCTCAGTGCTCACGTGCTTGGAGCCTGGTGCTGCTGGCTCTGACTTTCTGCTGCGCCGGGCAAGTGATGGCACAGAACGGGTGCCCGTGGAAATGCCTCTGCCAGCCCAAACTCCCGGGCGGCGGGAGCTGCCAAAATCAGACCCACGTCCCCCTGCCCCCGCGGCTGGGCTGAGGGGCGGCGGGGCGGGCGGCAGGGCGGGCAGGCGGGCAGGCAGGGGGGCCGCGCTCACCGCCCGCTCCGTGCGCAGGCGGATCCTGCTGAACTACGCTGTGTACAACCCGGCCGCCGGCTACTCCCAGGGCATGTCGGACCTGGTGGCGCCCATCCTGGCCGAGGTCCTGGACGAGGCCGACACCTTCTGGTGCTTTGTGGGTCTGATGCAGAACACCATCTTTGTCAGCTCCCCGCGGGACGAGGACATGGAGAAGCAGCTGGTGAGGCCGGGCGGGCGCGCGGCAGGGCGGGGCATGGGCACCGAACATGCTTGGCCAGCGCCTCCCTGTTGCCCGCGGGCGAGGTTGTCGGGTCATGGCAGTGGAAGAGCCATATAGACATTGCCAGTGGAGTCTGGGGCGCAGAGCCCAGGGGGCACGCCGAAGGCCGGGCCTTGAAGGGCCCGCCTCTGGGACCCCTACTTCCCTACACGGGACACCCCAGGCTGCGGGCAGGGAGGGGCAGGCCACACCACTGCCAGGCAGGGCCCAGAGCATCCTGTTCACTCAAGCCGGGCTGTGGACCCCGGGCGCCTGCTAGGGACCGGGGCCGACAGTGCAATGTTGTCTCGGCACCCCAGTCGGGGACAGCGCGGCTGATGGTGGATGGTGGGTGTTGGGGGGGCAGGAAGTCCTGGAGACAGATAGGAAGGAAGACGGGACTGGCCCGACTCCAGGGGGCATGAGGTGGCCTTGGGCCTGGCCATGACCCGGCTGAGCTGGGCATGCCAGGCAGTGACATGGGATGGCCCCTGTTGTGTCGGTAGAGCTGAGTGGAGGGTCCCAGTGCCAGGGCCAAGGACGGTCCCCTGGAGTGACTGTTAGGGGGCCACCCGGTGGGGCAGAGCACAGCAGAGGACTCGAGGACAGGGCGTGGAGCAGACGGCGTGGATTAGAGCGCGAGGGGCTTCTGGGTCCGATGGGGTGTCGGGGGTGGGGCCGGGCACGGGTGGAGGAACAGGCCGATCCGGAAGGTCCCCACCGTCGGTTCCTGCAGGGGCCCGGCTGCAGGCGTGTGGGGCGGGAACAAAGGGCCGTTTGTGGGGAAGGGGCCTGGGAGTTGCTGAGCCCCTGTCCTGGGCGGCTGCCCCCGGCCTGCCCGTCCCTCAGGGCACTGCCCAGTGACGTCGGGTCCCCAGTGCCTGGGGAGCTTTGGTGGGCCCTGCGCCCTCGCCCCGCCGGCCACAGAACAGGCCCCGTGACACCCCAACTGCCGGCGGTGGATGTGCTGGGGTGCGGCCAGCAATAGCTTTGCTGGTGTCCCGCCCAGGAGTCACGGGTGGGGCTCAGACTCTGCCGTCCGCTCTGAGTCGGCTCTGGAGGTGGTGGGTGGGGGGACCCACTCACCTTCCCAGAAAGGAGGGGCATCCGAAACAGCCCCCACACGACGGAGGCCGAGAGTCGGCCCCGTGGGGCTCCCCACGCACAGCCGGGCGCCCGGCCCCCAGAGCAGCCAGCAGGCCAGGACAGGCCTAGCGGGAGGAGCGGCCCGGGAGGCGGGGGCGGCGGGCGGGAGGGACGCCCTCGGCTGACTGTTGCCCCCCACAGCTGTACCTGCGGGAGCTGCTGCGGCTGACGCACCCGCACTTCTACCAGCACCTGGTGTCCCTGGGCGAGGACGGCCTGCACATGCTCTTCTGCCACCGCTGGCTGCTGCTGTGCTTCAAGCGGGAGTTCCCCGAGGCTGAGGCCCTGCGCATCTGGGAGGCCTGCTGGGCCCACTACCAGGTGGGTACCGGCGCCCCCGCCCGGCGCTGAGCCCGCGCCCCGTCCCGACTGCTCGTTTCCACGTGCTGTGCTGGACGCGCGCCTTGGCCCACGCGGGAGCACGTCGCGGGCGGAGCCGGCCGCCCAGGCAGGGGCTGCGGGCGAGCGGGGATGCGGCTCCTAACCCGGGAGAGAGGGGTGCGCATGCCGGGCCCCCCCCCCTGCGCCGGCTGTTGCCGCCACGGCCGTCCCCCTGGCGAGCGCCCCAGCCAGCCGCACCCGAGCGTGAGAGGACAGAGCAGCCGTGGCGGGAGGGACCCTGCTGGCTGCGGCTTCCTTGGAAGCCCACAAACAAGGGCACATCCTCTGCAGCCGTGGCTAAATTTAGCCGCATTGACCCCACCCCTTGATCAAGCGAGCAGCTCGGGGAGGGGGGCGGTGCAGGATGTGGGGGGGTCGCCTGGGACTGCGCGGCCCTGCCTGGCCCGTGGGCTGGATTAGTCCTGGCCTGTGGTCCAGCCCTGTTTACAGCGAGCTGCCTTCTCCTCCCACGCTCCCCTCCAGGAGAAGCTGGCACCCCTTCCTGGAGCCCCTGCCACCCCAGCGGTCCACAGAGTCGCCGAGGCTCCTTCTGGGCCCAGATAGGGCTGTCCGGGTTCTCTGGGGCTGGGGCTGGGGCTGGCAGTGCGGGGTCCAGGGGCCTGGACGGTCTCTGCAGAGCGAGCTTGGGGCCTTCACCAGCCGCTACTGCTGCGTCCTTGCGTCCTTGTGGGCCCCACCCGGCCCAGCTGGAAGACGTGGCTCCGCTTCGGGGTCTAAACACGGGCCTCCCGGGGCTCGTGTTCTTCCTCTGCCCTGCAGTGGGCGTGACTCCGAGGCGGTGCCCGGCAGCATCCGGGCAGGCGAGGACACTCCCGCCGGGCCCAGGGCCAGCTTCACAGCCGGCCGGGCAGGCTGGGCAGGCAGGGGCTCTGCACGGGCAGCTGAAGAGGTGGTGGCTTCGTTGAGCCTGGGGGCCCAGGGAGCTGACGGTGCACCCTCCTGCCTGAGCAGACTCCAGAGCTGCACGGTCAGCCTGGAGGCAGGCCACTGGCCGAAGGTCACTGCCGGGAGGGCCTCCCTCCTCGACCTGGGATGTGTCGGGGCCCCACCCCTGCGCTCCGGTCTTGAGGCCTTGGTGAAGGAGCTCAGGCTCCAGGGGCAGCTGCCGGAGAAGTCGTGTTCCCTATACCCGCCGTGACGGGGAGCCAGGGTCCCCAAAAGAGCAGCGGCAGGGGGACAGCCAGCCCCAGCACTGCCCCCGTGCCTTGGCAGGCGGGTCCTGACACGGGCACACTTGAGTGGGGACACGGAGGACAGCAGGGCCTGAGGGACTCGCCTCCCCTGGGGACCGGTCTGGGCGGCCCGCCTGACCCCTCCCCTCTCCGCAGACGGACTACTTCCACCTCTTCGTGTGCGTGGCCATCGTGGCCATCTACGGGGACGACGTGGTGGAGCAGCAGCTGGCCACAGACCAGATGCTCCTGCACTTTGGGAACCTGGCCATGCACATGAACGGGGAGCTCGTGCTCAGGAAGGTGAGCCCCCCCACCAACAGGCCCCTTCACCAGCCACGCTGGGGCCCCCGCCCCACCCATGGGCCCGCCTGGAGCTCCCCACCCAAACCTGGGCCGGCACCTCCAGCAGGGGCTGGGGCTGGGCTGTCTGGCTCCTCAGGGGCCGCCCCCCTTCGGGCACCTCACTCACAGCCAGAGCCAGGGAAGCGGGGAAGCAGGCTGGGGGGGGCGGGCGGGGGGCCCCCCTCTCACCTACGGCTAGTGGACCAAACACTAAAAGGGGACCATGGCCGTTGCTGTCCCCCACCTTCCCGGCTCCTGCCTGCGAGATGTGAGGCTGCTGCCGCGGCCCTTGCTCTCCGGGCGTCCCCGGCCGACCGCCGCCCTCTCTCCGCAGGCACGGAGTCTGCTGTACCAGTTCCGCCTCCTGCCCCGCATCCCCTGTGGCCTGCACGACCTGTGCCGCCGGTGCGGGCCGGGCATGTGGGACAGCGGCTCCATCCCCGCGGTGGAGTGCACGGGCCACCACCCCGGGGCCCAGGGCTGCCCCTACGGGGGTGCGGCGGAGCTGCCCTCGCCCAAGCCCCCCAGAGAAGGCAAGAAGGGCCCAAGGACGCCTCGAGAAGGTTTCGGGTTCCGCAGATAGGCTGGGCCCCCAGCTGGTCGGTGGGGGGGGGCCTTGCCGGGGTGGGGGGGCCTGGGAATGGGGGGGCGGGGGGACGTGGAGGGGACGGGAGGGTTGAAAGTAAGAGAAATGCCTTTGGGCAGCGCGAAGGGAACCTTTTCATAGTAACAACAAAAGCAGAGCCCCCACCTGTCCAGAGACAAGCCAGCCCCCGAAATAGTGGGGTTAGAGCATACGGCCCCCCGAAGCCAGGCTGGCGGCTCCCTGGTCAGCCTTCAATGGAGTGAGACATGTCCCAGGGACTCCGCGGGCTCCGTTGGCTGTGAACAGGGAGAAGCAGAGACTGGGGTCTCCCTCGCTCACCCGCGCTGGGGGACACAACAGAAGGAGCCTGTCCAGCCTGGAGGCCTCCTTGCCAGCCGGACACCCCTGCTCGGGCCTGCCTCTGAGGGCGCCAAGTCCGTGCCCACCACCGACAGCCACACTGCAGGGCTGACGTGGACACACCTCCGGGGACAGGAGGGCCGTGATGTCAGGACAGGCATGTGCCAGCGTTGGGGGGGGGGGGCGAGTCCCTGCTGCCCGTCCGCGGGGGACCCTCCTGGGAGCTGGGGCTGCCGCTGGTGAGACATGGGCCATCCCCATCGCGGGGCGGACAGGAGGTTCCTTGGCCTGTGTAAGGCCACCTCACCCGACACGCAGCCCGCGGGCCTGGACGGGGGTGGGGCCATGCCGTGGGGTGCCTTCACCACCCACCTGTCGGCTGGGCTCGTGCAGTGCTCCCGCCTGCCATCCTGCGAGACGTCCCAGGGAGGCGGCGGTGGGCGAGGCACTGACTGGGACGAAACCCCTGCAGGACAGCCAGGGTTCTTCCTCTGGGGCCCGCAGCCGCTGTGAGCGGTTCCCCCACATGAGCTGTCGGGTGGCCGGACGCCAGTGGCCGCAGCGAAGCAGCCAGTGCTCGGCTCCCAAGGTGCTTGCCTTGGGCATCTGCTGCCCCCACAGACCTGGGGCCAGCAGCCGGCGTGGGCGGCCGTCTCCTCGGAGGCCACTCTGGCCCTGGTGGGCTGGGAAGCCCGAGCGTTTCCTGGACTCCTCCGGCACCACCTCCTGCAGCGACACATCCTCGATGTGCGGGGCGTGGCCGCGGAGACCCAGGCCAGCCAGGCCCGCCGCCTCCCGCCTCCCGCCCTTCTCACCGGGCCGGAGCAGGGAGCACCTCTCCTCGAGGCCCGCGCCCGACACAAGGTGGCTGAGACGGGTGTTTCCAAGACCCGACCCCTCTGTCAGGGGCCCTGTGGGGACACAGCCGTCGTGGAGCCCCAGCAGCGGCAGGCCTGGCACCAGCGGCAGCCAACCACAGGGTGCAAGCTGCGTGGGGTGGAGGCTCCTGGCTCGGCTTCCGGTCTCTGGTCTGGCTTCTGCTCCATTAGGGAAGCAGCTGGGGCTGCCCAGGCAGTGGCTGACCCTCTAGAAACCGTGTGCCCAGGACAGGGCTCCCGGGATCCTTGCCGCTGTGATGCCGCGTAGCAGATAAGCCCAAACGAGGTGGCCTCGGACAGCTGGTCACGCGGTCCCCGGGGGTGCCCGCCCGGCACCCCCTGCGGCTGATCCCGGCCAAGGGACAGCACAGAAGCAAGTGTGCCAGCGAACGATCTCAGGTGTGACCCCCACCCCGCACTGGCCCCCTGAGCCTCCGGGGGTGGGGAGAGGGACCCTCTCCTTTAGTGAGAGGAGCCTCTTGGGAGGTTCAGGGAGGGGCAAGGAACCTGCCGTGGTACCATCCACACCCTCGGTCCAGATAACCTTGTCCTGGGAATGTCCCCTTCGGGGTCGTGACACCCCCACCCTGGTAGGGGCCGGGGGCCTCCCACGCTCTGCAGCAGAGCTCTCCCGGGCATTTTACCAGGCCGCCCGTGCCTTTGGGCCCCTGGGAGGTGGGGGCAGGGCTCCCCTTACTTTGAATGGTCCAGGATTCGTTCTGAGTCTCCCAGCCCCCCGCCCCCCCACCCCCTTCCCCCGGGCGGGGCTGGTCTCGGAATCCGAGGACCTGGCTGTCCTGCTGGGGCCCCGCTGTGCGTGGGCTGGAGGGCTGCCCCGCACGGCTCCTTAATCTGGATGCAATTAGGGGCGGCCAGCCAGGACCTGCTGCAGCTGCCGCCCGGTTGCTCCAGCAGCGAGGGCATTAGGGTGATAATTCAGCCATTAGACGTCCAGCTTTCCTGCGCCGGGACGCGCAGACGCGGTGGTCAGCGCGGTCTTCCTGGGCAGCGCTGCTTAGTTAACCCATTTTTTAAAATGACACTTAATGCGATTGGCTGGTGTGCGTGCGCGGACATCCGCCACCAACGCCCTCGCCGACGGCACACGTCGTGGAGGTGGGGGCACAGCTGGGAACCGTCGGGGGGGACGGTCAGCGCTCAGTAGCCTGGGCTAGGCGGCGGGGCGCCTGGTGTTCTCATCCCAGCCACAGTGGTGGGGGGGGGGGCAGTGTGCCATTCCAGAAGGTTGTCTCTGGTCCAGCCAGGAAGGCCTGGACCTCACGGTCACGGGAGTGGGGGTCCTCGAGCCGGAGCAGAGTGGACGGCCCAGCCCCTGCAGGCAGGGAGTGCTGAGTCCAGAGGGGCCGGGTCTGAGCTGTGTCAGAAACCGAATGGAGGTCCGGACACCCGTGCAGGCAGGAGGGGCCTGGGACTGGCCCTTTCTGTAGGGGCCCCGCTGGCGCGGCAGCTGGATAAAGACGGGTCCCCAAGTGTGGGCGTCCGAGGCGCAGTGGCAGGGGCCGGCAGAGGTGACCCGCCCTGACCGTTGACAGGTGGCCACTGGGCCTGGGTTGGTCACAGGGAAGGGGGTCCATGCTGTGACCTCGGGGGGCGCTGCAGCTCCCCCTTGGGTAGCCCTTGGGGTGGGGGAAGGAGGAAGGCCCGGACACCCCCCACTGGCTGGCTTGCCCTGAGCCAGCGGTGGCCTCAGTAAAGGGAGGGAGTCTGCAGGTCCAGCTGAGGCCGGGGTGCTCGGCCGAGACTCCAGAAGCCGGTCTACCCGGGGTCCCAAGCCTGGCTGCCGGGTGTGCTTGGAGTGAGCCCTGTGGAGCGGCCCCCGACCTGTGCAGGGGCCCGAGCTGCCTCATCAGGCCCCCCCTGTTGACACCCAAGGGCAGTGCTCCCCAGAGCCAAGTGGGGTGGGGCGGACCTGCGCCTCCCGCCCGTGCAGGTGCCTGCCTTCTGCGCCCTGGATGGTGCAGATGCCATGCTGCCTGGCGAGAGCTGCGGGCATGGTTTGCCAAGTGCCAGGGCCTCGCCTGCCACTCAGGGAAGAGACCTTGACCTCCGCCTTCACCTGGGCCTTCAGACCCCGAGCCCCTGCCCGGAGGGAGGCAGCGGCCCCAGACTCCAGCGCTTTCCCTGTCTGGGGAGTCGGCGACCTGCTCCTCCACCTTTCTGTGTCCCCTGGCCCAGGCCCTCTCAGTGCCTCCCCAGTATTGTTCACCCCGCTTCCGGCTCCTGCAGCAAAGCAGCTCAACCATGAAGCTACCCCGGTGGCCTGCGTGTCCACACTCCCCGCCAGGCACGGCAAGGACTTGAGCCTCCCGGGCTCTGGACGCAGCAGGGACGCCAGGGCTTCCTTCCTGGGTGGCGGTGCACACGGCCTGCGGTCAGCTCCTGGAACACCCCCTGACGTCCCAGGCTCAGCGAGACGGCGGGTCCGGGTCGCCCGCCATCCTGCGCCCTTGCCATGGAGAGGTGGGGGCGAGGGTGGGTGATGAGGGAAGGTTGATGGTGACCATCACCAAGAGGTCACGAGATGCGTTCTCCGTGGTTTGTTTTTTTAATACAATAGTCAGTCGGGCCCTGCCCGGGCAGGGACTGGACGCCGTGACCCTGCCAGCCATGCCCAGCTTGCGGATTCCCGAAAAGTAAATAAAGTCGCAGTGACCACAGCTGTACGCTCAGTGCCGCCAGGAGAGGGTCCGGTGGGGCAGTGAGGGCGCGGCTGGTGCTGGGCAGAGGCCGTGGCGCGCAGGGGCCCCGCGGCTCCTGGGTGTTCCGTGCTGGGAGGGAGCCTGCCGGCTGCCCTCGAGGGAACAGGTGCTGGCCTGCGGGGGAGGCAGGAGGACCCCCAGGCCTTCAGGCCAGAGAGGTGGGCGGGACAGTGAATGGGGCACTGGAAAAGGACCTGTGAACCCCAGAAAGCAGGACCTGAGACGGCCCCGGGCCTGGAAACAGCATCTTGTTGGGCCTGAGCCACGGGCGGGCTTCGGGGGACGGGAGTCTCAAGGGAGCCGGCAAGGTGAGCGTGACCTTGTCAGGGTGGGGCAGAAGGGAGAGTTCGGGCCTCGGCCCCGCTGACCCCTAGAGCTGAGTCACGGGGCGGGGGGGCAGGGGAGAGGAGCGTCAGAGGGGAGCCCGGTGGACACAGCTGCGGGGAGCAAGAGGTGCTGTGGGTCCTCCCTTCTGGAGCCGGCGGGCGGCAGGCCTAACCCTGGTGCCTTTCGGGCTGCTTGGCTGGCGGCTGCTTCCCATGTTCTGTGCCTCCTCTCCTCTTACCTGGGGGGCGGGACACAGTGCCCCCCCCCGGGGCCCGGGCTCGGCTCCTGCCCAGTATCCCCCACCCCGCAGAGGACAAAGTCCCTCCGTGGAGCCGCCAGCCACCAGCCAAGCTGATGGGTCTCTGTGCCCTCCCAGTCGGGGGCTCCTTGCGTGAGGAGGGGTCTCCCACAGACGCCTCCACAAAGCCCAGGCGGGCGGTGACAGATCCTCAGGACATGCAGCCCAGCCCTCCCTGGGGGCCGGAGCCACGGTGGCCAGTGAGGCCAGGGCGGGGCCTGGGGACCGGCCGATCGGGGCCGGGGCTTCAGAGGGTACGGCTCTGCTGGGCAAGCCCCACGCTGACCCCCGCCGGGTGTCGCCCGTCCCACCCCGCACCACCGGGTGCCGTCTCTGCTCTGCGCTGGACGGTGAGTGACCACCACGGCCACTGGGCTGTGCCAGCCAGACTCTGCCGGGGCCTGCGTGGTCTGGCCTGGAGAGGGCTTGTCCGGC